GTCATTCTCCCCCTCTGCTCTGCACTGGGGAGGCCACAACTGGAATCCTGCGTCCAGTTCTGGGCTCCCCAGTTCAAGAGGGACAGGGAACTACTGGAAAGAGTCCAGCGAAGGGCAACAAAGATGATTCAAGGATTGGAGCATCTCCCTGATGAGGAGAGACTGAGAGAGCTGGGACTCTTTAGTCTGGAGAAGAGAAGGCTGAGGGGAGACCTTCTCAATGCTGACAAGGATCTCAAGGGAGGGTTGAAGGAGGAGGGAACCAGACTCTTTTCAGTGGTTCCCAGTGAGAGGACGAGGGGCAACGGGCACAAGTTGGACCAGAAGAGGTTCCACTCAAATCTGAGGAGAAACTTCTTTGGGGTGAGGGTGACAGAGCCCTGGGACAGGCTGCCCAGGGAGGGTGTGGATTCCCTTCCTTGGAGATTTTCAAGCCCCACCTGGATGCTGTCCTGAGTAACATGCTCTGACAAGCTCTGGGTGGTCCTGCTTCGGCAGGGGAGTTGGACTAGATGATCTCTATGGTCCCTTCCAACTCTAAAATTCAGTGAAATTCAGTGAAAGTTACAGATGATAAGACAAGGGGTAATGGGTTCAAGTTGCACCAGGGTAGGTTTAGACTGGACATTAGGAAACAATTCTTCACAGAGAGAGTGGTCAGACACTGGAACAGGCTGCCCAGGGAGGGGGTGGAGTCACCACCCCTGGCTGTGTTTAAGAACCGTTTAGATGTGGTGTCGGGGGATATGGTGGAGGGGAGAACTTTAGAGTAGGGTGGATGGCTGGACTCAATGATCCCGAGGGTCTCTTCCAGCCTAGATGATTCTGTGATTCTGTAATTAAAGTTGTGTTGATGGGTTAATTGCATTCCTTTGGATGTGGCTGGAGGTTGATGCGATGTTGCTGTAAGACTGTAAAGAAGAGCCCTTCAGGAGCGAGGGGGTGGCTCCCCCTCAGCGGGGGGTGGTGTCTGGCAAGTGGGAGACAACTACTGTTGTGTAGAGGAAAAAAACCCCAACTTTTATCAATCTTCTTCCAGTTCTTCTTCAGTTCTTGGCTGCTGCCGGTGGACTCAATGATCCCGAGGGTCTCTTCCAGCCTAGATGATTCTGTGATTCTGTAATTAAAGTTGTGTTGATGGGTTAATTGCATTCCTTTGGATGTGGCTGGAGGTTGATGCGATGCTGCTGTAAGGCTGCAAAGAAGAGCCCTTCAGGAGCGAGGGGTGGTGTCTGGCAAGTGGGAGAGCACCGTTGTGTAGAGGAAAAAAAAACCCAACTTTTCTCAATCTTCTTCCAGTTCTTCTCCACTTCTTGGCTGCTGGTGGTTCCCAGTCAGGGGCTCTGAGTGGGTTTCCGTGGGACAGCTCGGGGCACGTCTGAGTAACACAAGGTTTGAGGTGTGGAGCTGTGAGCCCGTTGTTGTCTGTGTGTGGTGTCGCCCCCCCAGCTTCTGCCCTGTGTGAAGGGGGCTCTGGTGTGTCCCCAGCGTCGGGGGCCACCTAAAGCCCCAGTTCTGCTTTGGCTGAGGGTCGGTGGGTAAGGAGGGGGGTGGGTGTCCAAGGAAAATGAAGTTTCAAACCCAGTGGGAGAGTGAAATCGTTTAATAACTTGTTTGCAGTTTAGAAAAAAAAACCACATTTCAGGTTTCTTCTGAAATAGAATTTGGCATTTAATGATCTGATGTTGAAAAAACAGTGGCATAAGTAAGGGGACCAGTGAAAAAAGAGGGGTTTTATGAATTGCAAATAAGGCTGAGAGTAACGAGATTGATCAACAAGTGAGAGCCCCGTTGTGTCTGGCCTCCATGAGACTTGCTTGGGGGCAGAGTGAGGTGACTGGAGACACAGAGATAGAGGCTGGAGCTGAGGTGGCTGCCTGGAGTTCAAGGAGTGTGCTCGCATCACGTATCAGGATAAAACTTATCCTACAAGTGTTAAAAAATAATTAAAAAAAGAGGATTTTTTTTTAAGGCGTCCTGGTAGGTGATGTAGCCTAAGGGAGAGCAAATGGTGGGGTGTTGGGAGGTGGGTGGGGGTGATGGATGTTCTTGGAGGCCACGTACGGTCCTGCTGGAGCACAAAGGTTGGATTTTGAGGGAGCAGACAGGAGGTGGCTCTGAGGTTTGTCCTGAACAAAGCCAGGTTCTGCTGGAAAACAGAAAGTGGCCTTGGCACTGCAAAGGTGAGGTGCTTGTGGAGGAGTTGGAGGTGTGTGGGTTGGAGCACTGGGACCAGTTCTGGGCTCCCCAGGTCCAGAAGGACAGGGAACTGCTGGAGAGGGGACAGCAGAGGGCTACAAAGATGATGAGGGACAGGAGCATCTCTCTGCTGAGGAAAGGCTGAGGGACTTGGGGCTTTTTAGTCTGGAGAAGAGAAGGCTGAGGGGGGATCTGATCAACACCTATAAATACTTCAAGGGTGGCTGTCAGGAGGATGGGGCCACCACTTTTTTCAGTGGTGCCCAGTGACAGGACAGGAGGTAACAGGCACAAACTGGAACATAAGAAGTTCCATCTCAACATGAGGAGGAACTTGTTTACTTTGAGGGTGGCAGAGCCCTGGCAGAGGCTGCCCAGAGAGGTGGTGGAGTCTCCTTCTCTGGAGACATTCAAACCCCACCTGGACACCTGCTCTGGGTGACCCTGCTTTGGCAGGGGGTTGGACTGGAGGGTCTCCAGAGGTCCCTGCCAACCCCAGATCATTCTGTTTGGGAACAGGCCCTTGGGGAGGGAGGCTGGGGGGATGATGTGGTGAGTTTGTGGCATTACCCTACACCCCACAGAAGATCCAGGTGGGTTGCAGACAGTTCTCTCTGCCAGGACACAGCTCTAGGCTTAGGGTGCTCTCATAGTTTATCAGCTCAGCTTTTTCTTTCTTAACACCGGAATCATTTTATTTAAAGCACTCTTAATGTGCATAAGGAGGCCCGTAAGGACTTGCATGTGTGAGTTGGAAGACTCTTCAACACAAAAATTTGCAATGTGCTGCTGGTTTGAATAGTTGAAGATCACCCCAAACATCTGCTTGGCTGCTCTTCAGTGCTGGTGTTGGGTACTGATCTGCTCTTGGTAGCACTGGGCTGGCTGTGGAGCTGTGGTGGCTGCCCAAAATCTGGCTCGGGCTGTTCCCAGAAGGAGGTGTATGGGGTTTTTGGGGAAAAACAAACCCTCCTAATTTTCATGGATGGGCAGATAAACTTAGTGACTTCACCCTGGGGTGGGTACGCTGGGGGCTTCCTTTTGGGAAGGAAGGTATAAAAGGAGTTGGGATTTGGGAGCTCCAGAGAAGTTGTCAAAGCCAGGGAGGGCTGAAAGTGTGGGCTTTGAGTTTAATAACTTAAATTATTGGCGACCAAATGGGGAAATGCTTGATACAAGTTTATTCCTGTCCTGGATGTTGAGCGTCCTGGCAAACATAAACAGAGCTTCAAAAAGTGCCTAAATGCTAAAAGTTAAGTGTGTCATTCCATAAACCAGTGTTATCCTAGAGCGATAGTGGCACTTTGTAAATATTCTTGGTATGGGCCAGGTCTTAAGGTTTTTAAACTTATTAGTTCTGTGCTGCTGTGGATTAGCTGATACTGCCACCAGTGAGGGGGATTTCTGGATAATATTGGCATTTTCAGTGGTGGAGCAGAGGCCTGTCAGCCCCAATACAGGGAAAGGTGAGGAATTTCTCTGGCTACGGATCTGCTGTGATTTTATTTTAGCTTGGTTTTGTTGAAAAAAAGGCTGTGATGTTGTGTTTGCACTTGGAGAAGTGATTGGAGTGAGGTAGCCTTGCTAAATATATCTGTAAATAAACCAGCGAGTGTTGTAAAGGGAAATTTGGCTCCTAAATGGGGTAAAACTTCACTGAATGATTTAAAACCAACAAGTTTTATACAGGTAGGAAAATCCTGGTGAATGAGCAGAAAACGGGGAGCAGAGGGAAGGTGTGTTCCTGTGATTTTCATGTGGTGCATTTCCACTTGGTGGCTTGTTTGAAGCAGTTGGCAAATAAGGTTTAATGGAAAAATTAATCAGGGAAGGTCCTGGGAGTGTCACAGAAGTGGCTGGAGCACCGTGTGGGTCCCTGCCTGTTCCTGGGGCAGTGCTCAGTGGGGTGGTCTCTCAGGGTGTTGATTGAGCAAAATTGAGTAAAAATGAGTTTGCGTTGCCTGATGTGGATCAAACAGAGTAGGAGGAGATGTGGGACGTGCTGTCGGTGTTGGATGCAGGAGAGGGGTTTGAGAACTCATGGATCAGGGCAGTAGTTCCATTTCTTAGGTTTTTTTCAGTCTGTAAGAAGGACAGAAAATCCAGGCAGGATTAAGGGTGAAGGCAGCTCATTTGTGATGTCACAGAACTATTAATGTTCTTGCCCCTTCCAGGGTTCTGACTGTTTTAAATTCCTTAGTGTGACTTAAACATGCTGTCACCTGTTTTATTAAGTTATTATTTATTAAGTACTCAAATTCGATTGCTTACGTCAACAGTGAGGAAGATGAGAAATGAGTTTTCGGGGATAAGCTCTAAATAAAACCTGAATTCTTCTTTCCAGGTTTAGGGGGAGAAGAACTTGATACATCCTGAAAATGTTTAACAAATCCTTTGGAACTCCCTTTGGAGGCAGCACTGGCTTTGGGACAACTTCAACTTTTGGACAAAGTAAGTAATACATGTGAAAAAATAGTAAAAGGTATTTTTTCATGTGGGTAGAGGATGAGGCAGAGGTGGTGATTCTTTGTGTGTGGTGGAACTGGGGTGCTGCTGGGCTGTCACTGGTGGTCACTGGTGATGGGAACAGGCTTGTGACTCAGGTTTGGGTTTGGGAGCTACCCAAGCTTTTAATTTGGGTCGATACCAGAATTCCACACACTTTAAAACTTCCTTTTTTTAACAAGAGTGGAAACTCAAACCCTTAGGTGCAGGCCGTCTTGGTTGGGGGTGGTGGTGGGGATTCTTTTAATCAGCACTAGGTTATTTTGGGAAGATCTGGAAGGAAAACTCATGCAATTTGAGGAGTGTCTTCTGGAGATACACATCGTAAATGCCACAGTGCGTGAGTCCTTTGCCATTAAACCAGATTATGAACTGGTGTCTCTGCTCTGTTTGTTGGGAGGGAGACACAGTAATTCTGTTTATATGGCTCCTAAACCACAGTATGAGAAGAGAAACTGCCAGGTGCCCTAAAAGTCTTAGAGGAGCATCTTTCTGTTGGGTAGAAATGACTCAAATATCGAAGCCTTTTGCCCCGAGAGCTCTGTGCGAGTATTAATATATATATATATATAAAAAATTTCACATATCCCAGCCACCAGTGGATAGGTAGTCACCCACAAAGTTCTTTTGGCAAGGTAAAAAGGCTGTGACAGCACTTAGTTTCTAGTGCACGTGTTTAGAATATGGTTTCATCTAATAATCCTAATAATCCCCTTGATTTCTCAGATGCCGGCTTTGGTACCACAAGCGGGGGAGCGTTTGGAACATCAGCCTTTGGCTCCAACAACAACACTGGAGGCCTCTTTGGGAGCACACAGACCAAACCAGGTACTGCTGGGTGATGGTTGTGGGGGAACACAGTCCTCCCCTCAGGGAAGGGTGTTACTAAATTAAAAAAAGGGAGGAGAGGAAGAAAAGAGGGGAAAAAAACCCCAAACCAACACCAACCAACCAACAAAAAAACCCAAAGCCAACAACAATGATAAAAATCCCCCCTGCCCCCCCAAAAAACCCCAAGCACTTGCTGATTGCAAATGATTAACAGCCTGTTTCTGTCTTCAGGAGGATTGTTTGGTTCCACTACGTTTAACCAACCGGCCACCTCCTCCACCAGCACTGGGTTTGGGTTTGGAACCTCCACGGGGACATCAAACAGCCTTTTTGGAACGACCAGCACCGGGGGCGGCCTCTTCTCCTCCCAAAATAATGCCTTTGCGCAGAATAAACCGGCTGGGTTTGGAAGTGAGTAAAACTGCTGCATCTCTCTCCTTTTATATCTGCTTATTTTCTTGGCCTGAAGAGCTGGATGTACGTTTGGAGCTGATCTGAGGGTCCATGTTGGGCTTTGATGGTTTATAGTGACATTATTGGGGTCCACAGTAGCCAAGAGGGAGCCTGACACGCTTCAAAACATGAGTAGAAAACATGAGTTTGAACATGAGTAGAAAAAGGGGGTTGGTGGCATTTTCTTAAATATCTGCTGGTGCTGCTTGATTTTTAGCTTTTTTTTTTTTATTTTCTGCTGTCGTAGAAGAGTTCTGGTTGGTTTTGCTTCTGGTGCTGGAATGTTTGAAATGCATCTTAAACTCTGCTGGGATTCCCCGAAGCAGAACCAACTGTTTGCAGACCCTTCTGAGAGGAGAAGTGAAACCTCACTGATTCCTTTTCTACACGTAACTTTGGCAGCAGGGTCAGGAGCAGAGTGAAACTGGCTGCTGTGGGTCCCAGTATTTCCTGGGGGGGGGTTGAGTTAGGGACAATCCTCTACAGAATCACAGAATCTTCTAGGTTGGAAGGGACCTTCAAGATCATCTTGTCCAACTGTCAACCCAACTGACAAAAATAGACACCCACACAACAAACAAGGAGCATCATCACTAAACCAGACCTCCCAGCACTACATCAACCCGGCTTTTGAACACCTCCAGGGATGGGGCCTCCACCACCTCCCTGGGCAGCCCATTCCAGTGTCTGATAACCCTTTCAGTGAAAAAATGTTTCCTAATATCCAGCCTGAACCTCCCCTGGGGCAACTTGAGGCCATTTCCTCTTGTCCTGTCGCCTGTGACTTGAGAAAAGAGACCGACCCCCACCTCTCTACACCCTCCTTTCAGGGAGTTGGAGAGAGCAAGAAGGTCTCCCCTCAGCCTCCTCTTCTCCAGGCTGAACACCCCCAGCTCCCTCAGCCTCTCCTCATAAGACTTGTTCTCCAGACCCCTCACCATCTTTGTCGCCCTTCTCTGGACCCGCTCCAGCCCCTCAATGTCTTTTTTATGGGAGGGGGCCCAAAACTGGACACAGAACATTGCCCTGGCAGAATATCACTTTCTGGCTTTGTATTTTTTTTTTCTAATGCCTTCTTCCATTTCCAAACTATTTTGGAACTTGCATAAAATATTTGGGTTTAAGTTTTAAAATAAAGGTTTGATTAAGTACTGATCTCTTAATTTTTTTTCTTTTTAAAGATTTTGGAACAAGTACCAGCAGTGGAGGTCTCTTTGGAACCACTAACACGACGTCCAACCCTTTTGGGAGTACATCTGGCTCTCTCTTTGGCCCAACTAGTTTTACTGCTGCTCCAACTGGCACGACTATTAAGTTTAATGTAAGTTCTGATTTTTCTCTCTTAATTGAGCCTGTTTAGTGTAGGAAGCATTAAATTTTGCAGTTATTGTCGTGCTCACTGAGCTGAAATTTAAAAATGAGCTGTTACAAAGTGTGCAGTGTTCTGAAATGGGGAGGTTTGAAAACATCCACTTTAGTGGAACTGGTGCAGTGGAAATAAGATGTATAATTAAAGAACTAAATTGCTTTTTTTATTCAAACATCATGGGGTGAAACCCCATCTGGGCTTAAAATCCAACCTTCTCAGGAAGGTAGGAAGTGCACAGAATTCAAAGCTATCGGCAGCGAGGGTTAGACATCTAGGAATGGGTCAAAATACACTAACTTATAAGATAATTGTTTATCTTTGGGGATATAAACTCAAAAGTGAGGATGGATCCCCCTGTTTCCTGGATGAGTTCCCTTTAAGAAGGGGTTGAACAACGTCCTGAAGGTTCTGTGGCAGTTGAAAATGGCCGGTGGCTGGGGAGGGCAGCCATGGTGGAGCTGGGGTAACTGCTACCTGCTGGGAAGGGGCATCATTTCCCTAATACTCATTTGTGCAGATTTCAGCCCACTTAATTTCCAGACTGAGCTGATTGAACGGGCTGGGACTCGGTTGTTTGGGGGCGTAGGTGAAGCTGTGATGGTGACCTGGGCAGGCTGGGTGCCGTTGATGTCTACCTTCATAGAGCTGTTAAAAAAACAGGGGGGGTAATGAAATCTGTGCGTAGCTAGAGGGTTTTATCACGAGTTTGGGTAAACTGCTTTTAAAATGAAACTGAAAAATGAGTTGCACTGCATTGTTTTGAGTGTTACCAGGGTAAATTCCACTCTTGCTTGCCTCTGGATGTGCCTTGTCAGTGGGTGAGGGCACTGTTACTGCACAGATAACAGGAACGTGTTGCTTTGGGGCCTGTGCCACGTTCAGGTTTTAACAGCATCAGCAGAGAGAGCACTAACTGGATGAACAGAATTGGGTCTGGATTTCAAACCTGATGGTTTGACTCTTCTCTTGCAGCCCCCAACCGGTACGGATACGATGGTCAAATCTGGAGTTAGCACCAACATCAACACCAAGCACCAGTGTATCACTGCTATGAAGGAATATGAAAGCAAATCTCTCGAGGTCAGTGTTCAAACGTGCTTTTCCTGTTTGCCTGCTCGTTAGCATCAGTTTAATGGAGGTCTTTTTGACTGTAATAAATACCTTTATACTCATTAATATGAGTCCGATCTCTCGATATCTACATCTCTCTGAGAAGAGAGGGATCATTGAGTAAAACAATGTGTTGCTGTATTAATTGGGTGTGTTTTTAAATGCTTAATGCTGTAATTTCTGAAGAGCTGAAATTCCCTCTCACTCTGTACCAGAAGGTTGAGGGATCCTGTTGGGACCAGTCCTGGGCTGCTGAGATAAGGGCAGAATCTCGCACAAAACTCAGTTGTTTGGTATAAACTCCTGTTCCCATGGATTTAACCCTGGAGCCTTTCTCTTCAAGTTGACTTGTTTGATAGTTCAAAACAAGTCTTGAACTCAAAATATCTGAGAAGGCCCAGGGAAGTGAAATTGCAGCCCAAAAGTGAACGGCAGAGTTACATCTGAGTTTGGGTCCTGTTTATGGTGTCCTTTTAAAAAATGTAGGTGCTAAATTATCACTCTCTACAACTTCGTGAAAGGACACTGTAGAGAGGTTGGGGCTGGTCTCTTCAGAACGAGAGGGAACGGCTTCAAGCTCCAACAGGGGAGGTTTAGATTGAACATTAGGAAGGAATTTTTCACCCAAAGAGTGGTCGGGCATTGGAACAGGCTGCCCAGGGAGGGGGGGGAGTCCCCATCCCTGGCTGTGTTTAAGGGCCGTTTAGATGCAGTGCTGAGGGACATGGTGTAGGGGAGGACTTGGTAGAGTAGGGGAGATTTCACTGAATTTCACTGATTTTTTAGAGTTGGAAGGGACCATAGAGATCATCTAGTCCAACTCCCCTGCTGAAGCAGGACCACCCAGAGCTTGTCAGAGCATGTTACTCAGGAGCATCCAGGCGGGGCTTGAAAATCTCCAAGGAAGGGGACTCCACACCCTCCCTGGGCAGCCTGTTCCAGGGCTCTGCCACCCTCACCGTGAAGAAGTTTCTCCTCATATTTGAGTGGAACCTCTTCTGGTCCAACTTGTGCCCGTTGCCCCTTGTCCTCTCACTGGGAACCACTGAAAAGAGTCTGGCTCCCTCCTCCTTCAACCCTCCCTTGAGATCCTTGTCAGCATTGATAAGGTCTCCCCTCAGCCTTCTCTTCTCCAGGCTGAAGACCCCCAGCTCTCTCAATCTTTCTTCATAAGATGCTCCAATCCTTGAATCATCTTTGTTGCCCTTTGCTGGACTCTTTCCAGTAGTTCCCTGTCCCTCTTGAACTGGGGAGCCCAGAACTGGACACAGGATTCCAGAGATGGTTGCACTCGATGATCCCAAGGGTCTCTTCCAACCTGAACAATTCTATGATTCTATGATCTTCACCCCCCAGCGGGGTTGAATGCTGCGTGTGCACCCTGATGACAATATTCTGACCTTATCCTGTGTAAAAGTAACACATAAAGAGAAGTTCCTTTCCTCTCCCTCCCCAGGAGCTGCGTTTAGAAGACTACCAGGCGAACCGGAAGGGACCCTCCAACCCTGTCGGAGCGGGAGCGGCCGCCGGCTTGTTTGGCTCTTCCACAGCTACTTCAAGTACAGCCACGGGGCTCTTTGGCTCTTCTGCCACCAACACCGGCTTCTCCTACGGCCAGAACAAAACTGCTTTTGGAACCAGTGAGTACTGATGGTCATTACTTTGTAGAGTAGGGGAGATGGTTGGACTCGATGATCCCAAGGGTCTCTTCCAACCTAGAAGATTCTATGATTCTATGATTACTGGGCCAGGGTATGCAAATATTCAGTGAAGCTGTTTCAACTCTGTAATTAAAGATGGGGAAACACTGGTGTGAGCTCAGAATTTTACTAGTTGTGTTACCAACAGTCAATAGTCAGGTTCTTTGCTGTAGAAATCTCTATTTACTTACTCTTCCGGGGTTGCAAACTGTCTGTGTCCCCAGTTTTGCTGGAAGACAGGTCATTAGAGCATCTGGTTAATCAGCTCACTCAATTGGGTGAGTAAAGCAATTTGAAGTAAACCCACCAGGGTTTTGCTAACGATCAGGAGGGCGACAGCATCGGTTGGGTAATGGTGAAGTCAAGGTTCTGCTTCTGCTAATGAGTAAGCATGAATTCCCTGGGGTCTCTTCCAACCTAGAAGATTCTATGATTCTATGATTACTGGGCCAGGGTATGCAAATATTCAGTGAAGCTGTTTCAACTCTGTAATTAAAGATGGGGAAACACTGGTGCGAGCTCAGAATTTTACTAGTTGTGTTACCAACAGTCAATAGTCAGGTTCTTTGCTGTAGAAATCTCTATTTACTTACTCTTCCGGGGTTGCAAACTGTCTGTGTCCCCAGTTTTGCTGGAAGACAGGTCATTAGAGCATCTGGTTAATCAGCTCACTCAATTGGGTGAGTAAAGCAATTTGAACTAGTTGTGTTACCAACAGTCAATAGTCAGGTTCTTTGCTGTAGAAATCTCTATTTACTTACTCTTCCGGGGTTGCAAACTGTCTCTGTGTCCCCAGTTTTGCTGGAAGACAGGTCATTAGAGCATCTGGTTAATCAGCTCACTCAAGTGGGTGAGTAAAGCAATTTGAAGTAAACCCACCAGGGTTTTGCTAACGATCGGGAGGGCGACAGCATTGGTTGGATAATTCTGAAGTCAAGGTTCTGCTTCTGCTAATGAGTAAGCATGAATTCCCTGGAAATGGACAAATTAATTAATAGCAGCCTAACTAGACCTTGCAGGAGCTGTTCTCCACGGTAGGTCAGGGTTGGGATGTGTTCTATCTTGTGCTGTCCATTTTGGCATCCTTGGGCTAAAAATTAAAGCCAGGTATGAAGCAAGTGGTTAATTGAAGTGCTTGGGTGTCTGGTCGTTGCAGGGCAGCTCTGCTCACCCCTTAATGACCTGTTTGACCCAAGTGTAAAACAAATAGTGCTGAAAAGTCCAAACACAAATTCTATTTTTAGTAGCCTCTGCCCCAAACGTAAAGTAAATAGGTATTTGTATTTATGGAATGAGGCTCTAAGTGGAAAATCAAAATCCTACAGTCCTTAGAAACAGAAATTCTGCTCTTGGGTTAGAATTGTATGTTGTACTGACAGCACTGGGTGTTTTCCTGTTCCATCAAATCCAAGCTTTTTTTTCCCCCATTTGAACGTGCTGAGTGTGGAGATGTAATGAGTTTAGCTAAATACTTGAGGAGTTTTTTAACTAATTTATTTCTATATTTTAGGTACGACTGGTTTTGGAACAGGTACGACGGGGGGTCTCTTTGGCCAACAATCTCAAACCACCAGTCTGTTCAACAAACCCTTTGGCCAAGCCACCACCACGCAGAACACCAGCTTATTTGGGAACACCAACACCCTGGGGCAGCCCAACACCAACACCATGGTGAGCAGAAGGGTTTGAACCCTTAAAACTTGTAGTGTAGCTACAATATAGGATCATAGAATGTCACAGAGTGGTTTGGGTGGGAAGGGCCCCAGGGACACCTCCCACCACACCTGGTTGCTCCAAGCCCCCTCCAACCTGGCCTTGAATATAGTGATTTAACCACATGATATCTGTGATACAATGATTTAGATCTTCCCCAAATCCTAGTGCAGCTTCTTAAAACCAGGATGCAGAGCTCTGAACGCTGCTGCCTGAGCCAGAGACTTCAAAATTTCCCCCTCATGATAATTGGACAGAAATCCAGCAATAACTTTTTTCTTTAAGTCATCTGCTCTATCAATTCAGGTGTTTCCCATCACGTCCACACAGATCGTATCATTCCATCATTAACATTTTGGGAATTTATTAACAATTCTGTACCTTCTGGTGACTAACGAGCGGCATTTCATGGGCTCTTTTGATAGAAGGATGCACCACAACTGTAACTTTTTGCATAACTTGGGGCTTTGGCTCCAAATCTACTATATTCTTCCTGAATACATTGGGACTTCTCCCAGAAAACACTGAAATGTTTCTCTTCCATCTCCCTCAAAGTGATGAGGAATTCCTAGTATCCTAATACATTGGGACTTCTCCCAGAAAACACTGTGAAACGTTTCCCTTCCATCTCCCTCACTTAAAGTGATGTGGAAATTCCAGTATCCTTTCAGCTTGAAGCATAAACTCTTTGATTTTTATTTTTTAAATTTCCATTTGGTGACTAATTTCTGGGAGAATGACTATGAAGCATAAACTCTTTGATTTTTATTTTTTTATAATTTCCATTTGGTAACTAATTTCTGGGAGAATGACTGAAGCTTTGGAGATACTTTTCACCTGTTTTCTTCCCTCAGCAGAAGGGCTGATGCTTTTATTCCCTGACTTTGTGTTAGTTCTTTTCCTGTTGATACCAGCCGTGGGGAAGAGTCACGGGGTTATTTTAACCAAATTCCTGTTTGTAGGGTCTCTTTGGGGTAACCCAACCCTCCCAGCCCGGAGGCCTTTTTGGAACAGCTGCCAATACAAATGCTGGGACTGGATTTGGAACTGGGACCAGTCTTTTTGGACAGGCTAACACGGGATTTGGTGTTGGCGGTTCGGTATGTCTGCGCCTTCATAATTCACATTAAAAAAGCAAAAAAAAAGAAAAATAAGCCAAATGGCTTAGGGTCCTGTTCCTGGATGTTGAGCTCCATGGAAGTAGCTTTCTCTTAAGAGTTACGATGCCTAGACACAAAAATAGCATGGATTTATGTAAAGGATTTAATATAAGTGTGTGTAATAGAACTAGAAATAACTTTTTTAACAAGTAATGTCTTGAGTGATACGAGACAGCGACAGACTGAGCATCTCCCTGCCTAGATGTTGGCAGGGGTGCCTCAGTGTAATGTGGGAAATACAGGAGTTTAAACTGTGATGAGGATTTCCACTGCAAACAAACTTAATTCTTGATATTTGGTCATTTGGGGTTTAATGGAGTGAGAACATCTGGTCTCAGAGACACTTGCCCTCTACTAGTGCATGTGGCTCTTGGGAATCTGGGTTGTGTGGGCTTGGATTTATTTTGCTCCTCACCTGCAGCAAAACATTAATGCAATTATTTTAATATCAATCTATCAGGTTTCCAAAATGGTTGTTTTCTTCCTTTCACAGACCCTGTTTGGTAACAAACCTGCTGGATTTGGAACCACCACGACCAGCGCTCCCTCCTTTGGTACAACCACTGGCGGCGGGCTCTTTGGTAACAAACCAACCCTGACTTTAGGAACCAATACAAACACTCCCAGTTTTGGTACTTATAAAAAAAAAAAAGGGGGGGATTTCCATCACTTTAAAATTATACTGCCTCTACCACACACCTGGCTGCTGAGTAGCACTTGCCAAATGGTTATGGGAGTTGAAATCCCCAGGTAAGCCCTGCTCCTGGCACGTGTTGATGCACAAAACACCTTGGCTGCTGTTTCACTGAATTTAGAGTTTTACACCCATCCTCCTGGTGTGAACCCCAACTTCAGCAGGTAGACAGTGAGGTACCGCTCCTCGGTGAGCACTTTGGAGAAGGTGGAACCAGTGTAATTAAAAACTCTTGAAATTAAGGAATTCATACATCATGGAGGTTTGTTAAGAGGCTGTGAAGGAGTGTTGAAGGAAATAGGGTAAAACCAGTGATATCTGTAGTTTGATGGCAGGGATGAGGATCTGGCACTGGAGTGAGGGTCAAACAAAGCAGTTGGTTCTGGTTTAGCTGGTAACTGCTGTTGTCTCCCATGGTGTGATGGATCAAAGTCCTGAAGAACTGGGTCTTGTGTTAATGTGGGCCTCTGGTGTCAGAGAGTTGTTGTTGAATGAGTGTGTGCTCAAGCAGGAGAAGTGTGTAGTGATAGGTCAAGGGAATTGCAGTGAATTCCTTCATGGGATTTGGGTTAGAAGCTGTTTTGGCTTTTTTTTTTCCCCTGGCTCTGAGAGCAACAAAACTGTATTCCTAAAAGTGAGTAGGAGTGGGGTTAGGTCCTGACATTGAGGGGCTGGAGCGTGTCCAGAGAAGGGCAACGGAGCTGGGGAGGGATCTGGAGCACAAGGAGAAGGGTCTGGAGAACTTCTGAGGGAGCTGGGGGTGTTGAGCCTGGAGAAAAGGAGGCTGAGGGGAGACCTTCTGGCTCTCTCCAACTCCCTGAAAGGAGGGTGTAGCCGGGGGGGTCGGTCTCTTCTCCCAAGGAACAGGCCATGGGACAAGAGGAAACAGCCTCAAGTAGTCCGAAGGGAGGTTTAGGATGGAGCTTGGGAAGAATTTCTTCCTGGAAAGGGTTGTGAAGCCTTGGCAGAGGCTGCCCAGGGCAGTGGTGGAGTCACCATCCCTGGAAGGATTTGGGAGCCGGGCAGAGGTGGTGCTGAGGGACATGGGTCAGTGGATCTGTTTGGTTTGGATTTTGGTGGATTTTTATATTGTATCAGCAAGAAAAGCTAAACTGCCCTGAGCTGCCATCCCAGCCTGCAGGAATGAGCCAGAGGGAGGAACTTGGGAAGCTCTTCCACTGCGGGGGCACTTTATAGGAAAAATGGAGTTTGGTTCTCAGATATTTCTGCTGTTGGTCCATGAGTGTAGTTTTTTAGTTAAACTCTGCCACGGGCTGCTCTCACAGCCCTCAGTTTAAGAGGTAGTGGGTCTAATGTTAAATTTGGATTGTGCTTCGTTACCATTAGAGCTTTTAGTCTTTGAGCTGGGTGCTTGTAGGAGTCTGAGCTGTTCCCTGCGTTGTCACTGAGGATCAGAAGTGTGTGTGTGGTACAAACAGTATGAAATGGGATTTGTTCCTTTTGGCAGCTGAGGAAACTTAATATATTATGGCTTTAAATATTATTCCGTTGTCAGATACAGCACGATGATGTCCCTTCTGCCTTTTGGTAAAACTTTGACGTTTGTAACAAATTGAAAAGCTTAAAGGCAAAACAGTATTTTTCTGCACTGATCTTTTCAGTGTTAAATTCATAACTCAATTAGGCTTTTTTACCATTAAAGTCCCTTCTTGCTGCCTCTCAGTTTCACCTTGAGAAATTCAACCTAAACTGGGGTGGTGCCGCCTTTGAGGTGGCGATGCCTATTTATTTACCTATATCTTTTTATTTTAGTCCCCAATAGTGTTAGATTAATAAACTGCTGCTTCTGTTTCTGAAGGTTTTGGTGCCAACACTGCTGGGAATAGCCTGTTTGGAAATAAACCGGCAACTGGGACTCTGGGAACTGGACTTGGAACGGGGTTTGGAACAGGTAAGTGGTTTCACCGGCTTATTTCATGTCAGCCAAAGGGTAGTCAGTTTGTCAGTCCTGTAAGTGGTTTCACCGGCTTATTTCATGTCAGCCCAAGGGTAGTCAGTTTGTCAGTTGTGTAGTAAATCATAGAATCATAGAATTGTCCAGGCCAGAAGGGACCTCCAAAGGTCATCTAGTCCCACCCCCCCGCAGTTGTATTGGTGGTGAGGATTGTTCCGGCCCAGGTGCAGAACTTTGCATTTGCTCTTGTTGAACCTCATGAGGTTCACCTGGGCCCACCTCTCCAGCCTGTCCAGGTCCTTTTGGATGACATCCCGTCCCTCTGGTGTATCGACACCACCACACAGCTTGGTGTCATCTGCAAACTTGCTGATGGTGCCTTTAATTTCCCTGTCTATATCATTGATAAAAATGTTAAACAGTATTGGCCCCAGCACGGACCCTTGAGGAACACCACTTGTGACTGGTTTCCATCTGATGGTGATCTCTTGTCCTGCAGCTCTCGGGGCAGGACAGACGTCGTTGTTTGGAAACACCCAGCCTAAACTCGGTGGGACGTTGGGAACGGGAGCGTTCGGAGCGCCGGGGTTCAACACATCCACAGCTACTCTGGGCTTTGGGGCCCCACAGCCTGCTGTAGGTGAGTGTGCTTCACACTGACTTGATTTGCTGCTGCCTCCCTTGTTTCTTAGAACCATAGAAATGTTTAGGTTGGAAGGGACAGAATCACAGAATCTTCTAGGTTGGAAGGGACCTTAAAGATCATCTTGTCCAACCATCAACCTCACTGACAAAAATAGACACCCACACAACAAACAAGGAGCATCATCACTAAACCAGACCTCCCAGCACTACATCAACCCGGCTTTTGAACACCTCCAGGGATGGGGCCTCAACCCCCTCCCTGGGCAGCCCATTCCAATGCCTGAGAACCCTTTCGGTGAAAATTTTTTCCTAATATCCAGCCTGAACCTCCCCTGGGGCAACTTGAGGCCATTTCCTCTAGTCCTGTCGCCTGTGACTTGAGAGAAGAGACCGACCCCCACCTCTCTACACCCTCCTTTCAGGGAGTTGGAGAGAGCAAGAAGGTCTCCCCTCAGCCTCCTCTTCTCCAGGCTGAAGAACCCCAGCTCCCTCAGCCTCTCCTCATAAGACTTGTGCTCCAGACCCCTCGCCATCTTTGTTGCCCTTCTCTGGACCCGCTCCATGATCTTTAAGATCATGTTTGAGCTTCTATTTGAAGCTGCTTCTGGTCTTGGTAGCAGTGAAACCATGTTAATAACAATTTTTGGTGCTAATCACAGAATCTTCTAGGTTGGAAGGGACCTTAAAGATCATCTTGTCCAACTGACAAAAATAGACACCCAACTGACAAAAATAGACACCCAATTATAATTATATATATAATATATATATTATAATAATTATATATTTTAAGTAATTCAGAGTTGCTTAGCATTGGTAAGAATTGCAGCTATTTTAAAGCTTTGTCTTCAAGATTGCTAACACATTTCCTATCGTTGAGTTTTGGCAGCGACATTAGATGCTTATAAAAATAAAAAATTAAGGGAAACGTAGTGTCAGCTTCTTCAGTGATTCCAGGCAGAGCAGGGTTTTAGAGGGGCTTAAATAGTGAGTGGGCTGTGCTGTTAATGAAGTGAATGGTCATTAGATTCAAGCACCTTGTGCTATCAGTTTGTAAGTTAAAACATCTACTGTTCACCCTGTTTAAACACTCTGAATGACTGGTCTTCAGAGCTCCAGCCCCCTGAGGCTGGGACCTGAGGAAAATGAGCTTAAACTTGGGGTGGGGAGGGACAAGGCCACACACGTGGCACACAGCACTGTGTGGGGAGACAGGCTTCTGGTATCTTAATGGGCATGAAAATTAGATGCTGGAAAGCAGAGAGGCAAAATTAAGAGGCCTTTGTTGTAGAGAGGACGTGGGACCTGTCGGTGTGCTTGTTGTAGGAAGAATATCAAAACTGCATCACAGATTTTTTTTTTATTTTATTTTTTCCTTAAAAAGATGTTTTGGAAGTCAAATGTATTAGTTAGAGGCTGTGGCAGGTCAGGCTTTTCCACTGATGTGGAACTCCACTGATGTGTAGCTCTCCACGCTCTTGGCTTTACACCAATTAAAAAATGACTGAGTGTGGTTGCAAATTCTAATGAAGGACCAGAATCTGGTTTCTTCCTTCGGGCTGCTGCAGCCATGGGGGCTGAGGAGCAGGGGAGAGGAATGCTGAAGTCTGTATGGAAATTTGAATTCATAGAATCGTGGAATGGTTAGAATTGGAAGGGATCTTAAAGATCATTGAGTTCCAACCCCCTGCCCTGGGCAGGGACACCTCCCACCACACCAGGTTGCTCCAAGCCCCCTCCAACCTGCCCTTGAACCCCTCCAGGGATGGGGCAGCCACAGCTTCTCCACACAACCTGGGCCAGGCTCTCACCACCCTCCCACCAAACAAGTTCTTCCCCACATCTCAGCTCCATCTCCCCTCTTTCAGGGTCAAACCCTTCCCCCTCCTCCTAGGGCTCCCCTCCCTCATCAAGAGTCACTCCCCAGCTTTCCTAAATCTCCCCTCTTTAAAAACTTCAAATTTTTAAATTTAAAACCATTGCCCCTTGTCCTATTGCTACACTTCCTGACAAAGAGTCCCTCTCCAGCTCTCCTGTAGGCTCCCTTCAGATACTGGAGGGCTGCTGGAGGAGATCCTGTGGGTGGAAGGGTGTCATAGAATGGTCTAGGTTGGAAGAGACCCTTGGGATCATCGAGTCCAACCATCTCCCCTACTCTACAAAGTCCTCCCCTACACCATGTCCCTCAGCACTGCATCTAAACGGCCCTTAAACACAGCCAGGGATGGGGACTCCACCCCCTCCCTGGGCAGCCTGTTCCAATGCCCGACCACTCTTTGGGTGAAAAATTCCTTCCTAAGGTGTCTTTTCTACCTGCCTTGGTTCTATTGGGAAAACTACTGAAATTGAAAATGTTTTTTTTCTAGCTCTGACAGACCCGAACGCCTCAGCTGCCCAGCAGGCCGTCCTGCAGCAGCATCTCAACAGCTTGACTTACTCACCCTTTGGAGACTCCCCGCTCTTCAGAAACCCCATGTCAGACCCGAAAAAGAAAGAGGAGGTGAGTGCATGGAAACATTGGGTAAGATTTGGGATGACTTTATATTTTTTGTGCTCACTGTCTTCACTTAGATACACAGCGTGCGGCAAAATCCGATGCTGTGTTTATTTGGTATATGATACCAAAGTGGGAGGAGTGGCTGACACCCCGGAGGGCTGTGCTGCCATCCAGCGAGAGGGCTGGGCAAGGAAGAACCTCATGAGGTTCAACAGGGAAAAGTGTAGGGTCCTGCACCTGGGGAAGAAAAATGTCAGGTACCAGTACAGGTTAGGGGTGGACCTGCTGGAGGCAACTACTGAAGAGAAAGATCTAGGGGTCCTGGTGGACAGTAAAATGACAATGAGCAAGCAGTGTGCTCTTGTGGCCAGGAAGGCCAATGGTATCTTGGGTTGCACAGGGAAGAGTGTGGCCAGCAGGTCAAGGGAAGTCATTCTCCCCCTCTACTCTGCACTGGTGAGGCCACAACTGGAGTACTATGTCCAGTTCTGGGCTCCCCAGTTCAAGAGGGACAGGGAACTACTAGAAAGAGTCCAGCGTAGGGCTACAAAGATGATTCAAGGATTGGAGCATCTCCCTGATGAGGAGAGGCTGAGAGAGCTGGGACTCTTTAGCCTGGAGAAGAGAAGGCTGAGGGGAGACCTTATCAACGCCGACAAGTATCTCAAGGGAGGGTTGAAGGAGGAGGGAGCCAGACTCTTTTCAGTGGTTCCCAGTGAGAGGACGAGGGGCAACGGGCACAAGTTGGACCAGAAGAGGTTCCACTCAAATATGAGGAGAAACTTCTTCACGGTGAGGGTGACAGAGCCCTGGGACAGGCTGCCCAGGGAGGGTGTGGAGTCCCCTTCCTTGGAGATTTTCAAGACCCGCCTGGATGCTCCTGAGTAACATGCTCTGACAAGCTCTGGGTGGTCCCTTCCAACTCTAGAAATTCAGTGAAAATTCAGTGAAATTCTCGCAGTGGTGTGAAAAATCCCAATTCTGCATCTTTTCGTTTCAGAGGCTGAAGCCAACGAACCCAGCAGCTCAGAAGGCCTTAACCACACCCACCCACTACAAACTGACCCCGCGCCCGGCCACCAGAGTGAGACCCAAAGCTTTGCAGTCGGCTGGATCCGCCAAATCCCAGCTCTTTGATGGGCTGGATGACGACGAGCCGTCCCTGTCCAACGGCGCCTTCATGCCAAAGTTAGTTCTTAATTTTCTGTGTGTTGGAGGGAGGAGGTGGTGCAAGAAGCTTCTGATGATAGAATTGTCTAGGTTGGAAGGGACCTTTGAGATGACCTAGTCCAACCATCAACCTAGCTCTGATAATAAGGATCATTAACCATGTCACTGGGCACTGTGTCAACCCGTCTTTTGAACACCTCCAGGGATGGTGCCTCAACCCCTTCCCTGGGCAGCCCATTCCAAGGCTTAATAACCCTTTCAGTGTAAAACTTTTTCCTAATATCCAATCTGAACCTCCCCTGGGGCAACTTGAGGCCGTTTCCTCTTGTCCCATGGCCTGTTCCTTGGGAGAAGAGACCGACCCCCCCTGGCTACACCCTCCTTTCAGGGAGTTGGAGAGAGCCAGAAGGTCTCCCCTCAGCCTCCTTTTCTCCAGGCTCAACACCCCCAGCTCCCTCAGAAGTTCTCCAGACCCCTCACTAGCTCTGTTGCCCTTCTCTGGACCCGCTCCAGCACCTCAATGTCTTAAATAAAATTAGATTTTATAAACCTCTGTACAGCACCCTAAATTCCATGACTGTCTTGTGACCTGGTTCAAATGTGAATAGCAACAAGTAGTTTTCTGTAAAACCCAAAGAGAACTGTTTTCTTTACAGAAGATAAAAATGCTCAGCTTAAACTGTTAAGGCCAAATAAGCTGTAAAATGAGTTCATTCCCTGATTGAGGCAAAACTTAAAGTCTGTTTGGAATTATTACGAGGAGAGCTTGGACAGTGTAATGCTTCCTGCTCCTGACACACGAGGGTCACTAGGGTTGCTCAGGCAGGTGGTGTGAAGGCAGATCTCTGGCATTTCCACTGCCTGGCACTGGTTCTGTCACAGTTCCAAAGATGTTGCTGTCAGAAATTAATAATGGTGCTGTGCATCTGCCCCATCGAAGCTTTTGGGGTCAGTCTCCAACTGCATCAGTGGCAATCCTAGTAAAAAGGGGTTTGGAAAGCTTTGGAGTTTAGTTAAAAACAAAAAACTTTGGAGAAAGACGCATCAGTCATTGAAAGTATAGAATCATAGAATCATTGAGGTTGGAAGAGACCCTTGGGATCATCGAGTCCAACCATCTCCCCTACTCTACAAAGTCCTCCCCTACACCATGTCCCTCAGCACTGCATCTAAACGGCCCTTAAACACAGCCAGGGATGGGGACTCCACCACCTATGTCCAAGCACAGGCTTTTAAAAAAAATTTCTAACTTTTCTGAACTTGGTTGGTCTTTATTTTAGCCTGAACCGTCTGGTTCTAGACTCTCCTGGTCCCTGGAACACACAAACTTAAGCGTGAAACCTAGATTCATGCAGTGGATATATCCAAATTTCTCTTTGGCTTTTTGTTGGTTTTTTTTTTAGGAAGAGCATCAAAAAGTTGGTTTTGAAGAATCTCAACAGTAGCAACCTGTTCTCACCTGTTAATCGTGACAATGAAGACCTGGCTTCCCCGTCGGAGTATCCGGAGAACGGGGATCGGTACGTTGGTTAGGCCTGAAGGTGTTTGTGCTTCTGAGAAACGCAGACTGGTTGTACCTGTTCCTAAATTAGTACTGGAGCAGGTAGTTATTTTCAGGGATGTTGCCTTAGCTGTTCCTTGGGGGTGAGTTGACCTGTTGGGAGATTCATTTCCTCCTAAAACCAGCCCTGGGTTCTTCCTGCGTGGTCACGTACCAGTTCATCCCGTCCCAGATCAGGAGGTCAAATGGGAACAAGTGACTTTCTGGATTGTTCCCTGTAGAGAGAAACTTTCCTGAGGGCCATTTCTTGATGGAAGTGACAAATCAAGAGGGAAACTTTCCTGAGGGCCATTTCTTGAGGGAAGTGATAAATCAAGAACTTGGTTGGTCTTTATTTTAGCCTGAACCGTCTGGTTCTAGACTCTCCTGGTCCCTGGAACACACAAACTTAAGCGTGAAACCTAGATTCATGCAGTGGATATATCCAAATTTCTCTTTGGCTTTTTGTTGGTTTTTTTTTTAGGAAGAGCATCAAAAAGTTGGTTTTGAAGAATCTCAACAGTAGCAACCTGTTCTCACCTGTTAATCGTGACAACGAAGACCTGGCCTCCCCGTCGGAGTATCCGGAGAACGGGGATCGGTACGTTGGTTAGGCCTGAAGGTGTTTGTGCTTCTGAGAAACGCAGACTGGTTGTACCTGTTCCTAAATTAGTACTGGAGCAGGTAGTTATTTTCAGGGATGTTGCCTTAGCTGTTCCTTGGGGGTGAGTTGACCTGTTGGGAGATTCATTTCCTCCTAAACCAGCCCTGGGTTCTTCCTGTGTGGTCACGTACCAGTTCATTCCCTCCCAGATCAGGAGGTCAAATGGGAACAAGTGACTTTCTGGATGTGTCTCCTTGTTCCCTGTAGAGAGAAACTTTCCTGAGGGCCATTTCTTGATGGAAATGATAAACCTGGCCCTGGGGTGAGAAGAATCTCTCCTTCTGCCTGGTCCTCCTCAGTAATGTGGGGATTGCAAGGAAGCTCCTCTGACCCAAATGTCTCATAATAATATCTTTTCTTCATATTAAACTGAGGAATCTCTAAGGCTCTCTCTTCCCCCCCCAGACACCTGAATATCTACTTCCTCTCAAAATCTGTGGCCATATTTCAGATGAACTTCTTTATTTTAGAATCAGAAGCTGGAAAATTCCTGACCAGCACAATAAGTTTTGACTTTATTTCAAGCTCCTAGAAGTAGGAGCTGATGAAGGGAGCAGGGAACCTTGTTTCTGACCACCCAAGTGCTGCCCTGGGTGGTTCATGGTGGGGCAGAGGTGTTTGTAACCTCTGGTGCCAGTAGCCCAGAGCCCAGGCAGTTCTGAGCTGGTGTTTTGGGGTGACTGTCACAACAGTGTTCCCAAGTTTGAGTTGATCATGGTGCCTGCAAGACTTAACCATCCTGTCCTTCTAAAACAGCCTGTATTTTGGGCACAAAAGTCTGTAACAGCCTGGTCACAAATGGTTGAATTCAGTTGGAAGTGACCTGGGGAGGTCTCTGTTCCTTCAGCAGCCTCAACACTGAATTCAGACCTGGTTAGTGCAGACTTTGTCCAGTTGGGTCCCTCAGACCTCCATGGACAGAGATTCCACAGCCCCTCTAGTTCCCTGTTCCAGCGCTTGACTCTTCTCATTGATTTTGATTTTAATTTGACTGTTGTTTCTCATCCTTCTGCCCCATGTATCTGTGGAGGGGCCTGACTTCTATCTTCAGTGCTGGAAGGCTGCTGTTGAACCCCTTTTCTCCAGGCTAAGCCATCCATTTCCTTAAGTTCTCCTCATATTTCATGTGCTTCAGTCCCCCAAACCATCATGGTCCCTTATCCTGGCCTTACCACTGCATTTCATAGAATCATAGAATTGCCCAGGCCAGAAGGGACCTCCAAAGGCCATCTAGTCCCACCCCCTCGCAGTCAGCAGGGACACCCCCAACTAGACCAGGTTGCCCCATCGAGCCTCTCCTTGAATATCTCCAGGGAAGGGGCCTCAACCACCTCCCTGGGCAACCTGTTCCAGTGCTCCACCACCCTCCCAGTGAAGAACCCTCTCCTCATCTCCAGTCTAAATCTGTTCCCCTCCAGCTTGAAGCCATTGCCCCTCGTCCTGTCACTGCAGGCCTTTCTAAACAGGTTCTCCCCAGCCTTCCTGTAGGCCCCTTCAGGTACTGGAAGGCTGCTATTAGGTCTCCCCGGAGCCTCCTCTTCTCCAGGCTGACCAACCCCAGCTCCCTCAGCCTGTCCTCGGAGCAGAGGTGCTCCATCCCCCTGATCATCCTCGTGGCCCTCCTCTGGACCCTCTCCATCAGGTCCATGTCCTTCTTCTATTGAGGGCTCCAGACCTGCACACAATACTCCAGGTGAGGTCTCACCAGAGCAGAGGAAAGTGGCAGAATCCCCTCTCTGGACCTGCTGGCAACGCATCTCTTGATGCAGCCCAGGATGGGATTGGCCTTCTGGGCTGCAAGTGCCCACTGCCTGCTCATGTCCAGCTTCTCCTCCACCAGCACCCCCAAGTCCCTTTCCTCAGGGCTGCTTTCCAATCCCTCACCCCCCAGTTTGTATTGGTGGTGAGGATTGTTCCGGCCCAGGTGCAGAACCTTGTACTTGCTCTTGTTGAACCTCATGAGGTTCACCTGGGCCCACCTCTCCAGCCTGTCCAGGTCCTTTTGGATGACATCCCATCCCTCTGGTGTATCGACAACACCACACAGCTTGGGAGCCCCAGATGAGATGCAAAAGACAAAGGTGGTTTAACAAGGGCAGAATGAAGGGGAATAACTGGTTCCCTCAGCTGCTTCCTTCACTTCCTGTGCTGTTCTGCTTGATTTTTATATGAAAAGACTCCAGAATTTTAATGTTGACCCAAATCCCTTTAGGACTAAATAATTCAATTTCATTTTTCCTTTCTTCAGGTTCTTTGTGTCGGTACCTCAAGATGAAAACCACAGACAAGATGGTGAGCGAGAGGAGGAGGACGATCAGCACGAAGTGACTCGGTTTTACACCAACCCCATCGCCAAGCCCATCCCTCAGACCCCGGAGAACGCTGTGCACAAGCACCAGAACAACGTGGACGACACCATCGTGGCTCTGAACATGAGGGCGGCCTTGAGAAACGGCCTGGAAGGCAGCAGTGAAGATGCCTCCTTCCACGATGATTCCCTTCAGGATGAGCGCGAAGAGGAACCCGAAACGGTGCATCATCTGCATCCTGCAGGTGAGACTGGGCGTGTGGGGCAGTAGGTCACAGGATCACAGAATGATCTGAGGTTGGAAGGGACCTCTGGAGACTCCCCCAGTCCAACCCCCTGCCAGAGCAGGTCCACCCAGAGCAGGTCCCACAGGAACATGTCCAGGGGGAATTGAATATCTCCAGAGAAGGAGACTCCACCACCTCTCTGGGCAGCCTCTTCCAGGGCTCTGCCACCATCAAAGTCAAGAAGTTCTTCCTCTTCGTTGAGGTGGAACTTCTTATCTTCAAGTCTGTGCCCATTTCCTCTTGTCCTGTCCCTGGGCACCACTGGAAAAAGCCTGGCCCCATCCTCCTGACACCCACCCTTGAAGTATTTATAGGTGTTGATCAGATCCCCCCTCAGCCTTCTCTTCTCCAGACTAAAAAGACCCAAGTCCCTCACCCTCTCCTCATGAGAGAGATGCTCCAGGCCCCTCACCATCTTTGTAGCCATTTGCTGTCCCATCTCCAGGAGTTCCCTGTCCTTCTGGAACTGGGGAGCCCAGAACTGGTCCCAGTGCTCCAGCTGGGGCCTCCTCAGGGCAGAGCAGAGGGGCAGGATGACCTCCCTCCACCTGCTGGCCACAATCTTCTTGATGCCTCCTAGGAGACCACTGGCTTCTTGGCCACCGGGGCACATTGCTGGCTCATGGTCATCCTGTTGTCCAGTTGTGTTTTTCCTGACAGAACTTCATAAATGCCTTCATTAAACTTCTCTTTTGCTGCTTTTTCTCTTTTCCTTTCTCTGCTGTGTTCTTCAGGAGACAAATCTTGCTTTTCAGTGTCTCCTCTAGTGCAGAATTTTTTCTGCTGAGTCAATGAGCAATTAAATATCATTTAATGATCTTACAGTAAATTGAGTTAGTGAGATGTGTGAGAGGGAGGGCCCAGGCAGTGACTGTTCTGCAGTAATATTCCAAATTGATTATCACTCAGGAGGAAGATCTTTGAGATGGAAATCTTGGTAGTTACCAACCTGCAAACTGTGCTGTAGGGTTTGCCGGGGGGAAAAGGACCATGGAACGTGGTTGTGTCTCTGTAGGCCCATCACCCATGTGTTTTCTCTCAGTTCTGGTCTTGGGGTTTAGTAAAATCAAAAAAAGATAGAGAAGTGTGAAAATCATGTGAGATGTCTCTAGAGTCCTAGAATGGTTTGGGTTGGAAGGGACGTTAAAGACCACCCACTGCCACCCCCTGCCCTGGGCAGGGACACCTCCCACCAGCCCAGGTTGCTCCAAGCCCCCTCCAACCTGGCCTTGAACCCCTCCAGGGATGGGGCAGCCACAGCTTCTTGGGGCAACCTGGGCCAGGCTCTCACCCCCCTCACAGCAAAACTTTCCCTTAAGGAAGACTTTGAGGCTGGTGAAGAGGCCTGGGGGGGTGTTAGGGTATTTTTTTAACTCCTGAGTGGTCTGGGGAGGGTGAAAAGCTCCTTCCAGGTACTGTGTGGCATCTCATGAAATTACGGGTGACGTGTTCAAAAGAAAGATCTTCAGAAGCCCCAGTAGCAAGAAGCTGTAGATGCAGAAAGCTTTAGTAGGTTTTAAATATGGCTAGACATGTTACGGGGTGAAAAAGCATTGGAGACCATTAAATGAAAAAGGTGCTGCCCCTTGGTCAGCAGGTGCCAGAGCCCCAGATGATTAAATCACAGAATCACAGAATCGATCTTCTAGGTTGGAAGGGACCTTCAAGATCATCTTGTCCAACCGTCAACCCAACTGACAAAAATAGACACCCACACAACAAACAAGAAGCAACACCATCACTAGACCATACCTCCCAGCACTACATCAACCCGTCTTTTGAACACCTCCAGGGATGGGGCCTCAACCACCTCCCTGGGCAGCCCATTCCAATGGCTGAGAACCCTTTCAGTGAAAAAATGTTTCCTAATATCCAGCCTGAACCTCCCCTGGGGCAACTTGAGGCCATTTCCTCTTGTCCTGTTGCCTGTGACTTGAGAGAAGAGACCGATCCCCACCTCTCTACACCCTCCTTTCAGGGAGTTGGGAAGGTGTTTGTCCCTGATGATGGTGGGGCTCCCTGGTTGCTGGGCTGCAGTAACATAACACAACAATCCTCTCAAATTTGCTCTGAAGGCTGGTCAGGGATTTTGATTTTTTGTTTGCTTCTGATGCACTGATTCTCACTTTTTTTGGGACCTTCGGTTGAGGAGGGCAACGAAACTAGTGAAGGGCCTAGAAGACAAATCATATGAAGAGTGTCTGAAGGAGCTGGGGCCGTTTAGTATGAGGAAGAGGAGGCTGAGGGGAGACCTCATCACCCTCTACAACTACTTGAAAGGACACTGTAGAGAGGTTGGTGCTGGTCTCTTCTCACAGGTAATTAGTGACAGAACGAGAGGGAACGGCTTCAAGCTCCAACAGGGGAGGTTTAGACTGAAC